CCGAAAGGTTCGAGTCGCATACATGCTACCCTGTGCGTAGGTGCGTCTGTTTCCTGTGCGTGTGAGTCTCGTATCCGGTGCGAAGATGAGTCCGGGAGCCAGTGCTCAGGTGAGTCACTTTCATGTATGCAGATGAGTCCTCTAGCATGAGATGAGGAACTTACAAGTGTAAAGTGAAATAACCACCGTGGCCACATCACCACATCACCATGATCACATCACAGCAGCAAAACAACACGGCACCACATCACTGCATCAGCTCAGATCTGCCCCAGAAGTCTCTTACATAGACCTTGCCAAGAGAGATCGAATAGAACACTAGTGCGGAGATCTAGCCAAGAGGTCTCTTACATAGCTCTTGCCAATAGAACTCTTGTGGAGCTTGCTCGCAGCTTTACAGGCATCTTGCCACAAGATCTCGTATAGCGACCTTGCGCAGATAGCTTGAAGAGAGACCTTCCTCAGATATCTTTTGCAGAGATCTTGCCGGGAGATGTTTTGTTTTGAGAGATTTTACAGATATCTTACCGAAAGACCTCTTGTGGAGATCTTGCACAGAGACCGTGTGATGAGAACAGAGATCTTTCTAAAGGATATCTTATAGAGAGTTTGAGCCGACAGCAGACTTAAAGGCCTCTGACAAAGAGAACTTGCAGAAACTAACCTGTGAAGTCTCGACTATGCTTCTTGCCAAGACTGTTTTAGCCCTCTTGAAGGAAATCACTCTCCTGCATTTGAAAATTCCGTCCCCCGGCTTGGCTGAGCCCTACTTCCATTTATAGATATAGATCTAGATATAGACTCGATATACACATATAAATGCAATACATACATATGTATATATACTACGAGTACAACTACATATCCATATATATATATACATACTGCAATATACATATACATATCCATATGTCTAACTTGTTGCTTTCTTTGTGTCGCTGTCCATTCGCAAGCTGGCCATGGGGGCGAAAAAACGTCCTGCCGCCATCAAACGCCCGGCTGCCAGAACCCGACAGGCCAGCTGAGTTAACGGATTTCAATGAGTTTCTGACGCATTGAAACAACACGATGGTGGATGTAGGTAGCCATTGCGCTAGCTAGCATTTTTGGGAACTTTGGAACCTAGCATCGCATTTCATGTCCAGATGTGCAATTCACCATTCCATGGAAGCCTGTAGCGATGCATGTCAGGGTGCTTGTCAGCATGGACTGACTAAGATTGACCAATTATATAGAGGTCTTTGTTTTCTTGGGCCTGAAGCTTCTCAGCCATAGACATATGTGATATGCGTTTTTTGCTCCTCACATCATTCTGTGACGTTCTCGTTTTCCTCCTCTGGCTTGACACCACTTACCGGTGTCCGCCAGTACTTGGTTTCAGAAGACCCGAGCTTGCTCACAGAGACTTGTGGCATCATCTTTCATGCAAAGATTAGAGTTTCTGTGACCTGAGGAAGTCTCACTGATGAAACTGCTTCCAATCGCGTTGACAACAATTTTGTTGCAGGTGCCTTCGGCCGACATCGAGGACCCGCAGAAAGATGAGGCAAGATACTTCGCGATAGGTTTTTCTGTTGTTTTCTGGGAAAACTCGAGCTTGGTAGCACAGACTTCAGCTCTCATCTTTCATGCACAGATTGGAAATTGCCTGCTGGGTATGATGTTCTTCTTGCCACAATGGCTTCCAGTGCGTTGCGACCATATCTTTCGTGACATGTTCCGACATGTGAAGTTCATTTGTGTTGTAGATACCTGCGCAAGCAATCGAGCACCCTCCGATGGATGAGGCAAGTTGCTTCTGAGACACTGGCTACATGCTTGCTAATGGGATAGTTTCTGTTTTCTTGTGCAGATTCAGCTTTCAGTATGGGACAGTTTGATGTAGTTTGTCTGGGTTTAGGAAGTCTTAGTGCAACAATGGCTTCAATGGCATTGCAGCCAATATTTCGTGAATTCCGCAACCATTTGAAGTTGCTTTGTATTGCAGGTACCTTCGGCGGCGATCGGGAAACCAGTCGAAAGTGACAAAGATGTGGCGAGTAGCGCCAAAAAAGAGGACAGCAGGGACCGATCGAGAAGTGAGACCAAACAGAAAAAAGTAGCATATTCAGAGTGTCGATAACAGACCTGGCCTTTTTGCAAGCTCTTGGAAAGAAGTTGGTGGTCGTAAGCTCGGGTCGGGGCAGGATCCAAGAGCAGCTGATGTGAGAAAATCGCGACTTGCACTTTGGCTGCATGATTTGTATGCAGATCTTCCCCAGAGACATGCCACGGTTTTTCTCCTATTTTATGATACCAATGCCATGTCCCTTGCAGAGTGACTAGTGCAAATGAGATGTGAGGTGAAAGCCTCATTCTTACTTGGGACAATCTTGGTGCCAGGTTGAGCAAATCAAGAAGTCAAGGACACGAAAAGGAAAGCAGGACAGAACACAATAGCTACCATCGAACCCGCCATAGTGATAGTTTACGTTTTTTCCGTGACAGAGTCTAAATTATACGTGACCACTGTTCCAAGCAATCCCTTCTGCGTGGTGCGATCGTGCTATATCTGGCACGGAAGTTTTTCGTATGTCTGCAACCAAATTGTGATGCGCCAGGAGCTGGCGGAACAACGTGCGGGAGGTGTTGCTGCGTCGGCCAGTGGTGCTGCGTCGGCCAGTGAGGCCCGTCTGTGACATGTTGAGCGCACTCTGCAGCAAATGGTCTCCGTCATCACAAGTGTGCATCACGGCTGCTTGCTTCGGCCCGCAGGAGACAAAGAAACTGAGCCGTCCGGTGAGCGGAGGCTTCAGTACTTCGGCTGATTTGGAAAGAGAGATGTTGTCACGTTGACACAGAGGAAGACAAGATCGACTGTTCAAGCACTTCCACCGCTTGTTCCCCACCTGCCAGGTGAGGGTTGTTTGATTTTATCAGAGTTTCGCTCCTCCTCCGCCTCCTCCGCCACCTCCTTCTTCGCCTCCTCCGCCGCCTCCTCCGCTAGTTTCTCCTCGACCATGTCTGCATCAACTTCCACCGCCACGTCCGCCTTGCCAACTCTGCGCCAAGCTCGTCGCCAATTTCCCAGCTCATGAGGACCTCAACCTGGGACCTTCCCAGCGCAGTTCGCACCGCTGGACCCCAACCTGGGACCTTCCGAGCTCAGTGCGCCCCGCTGGACCTCAACGGCCCGATAGAACGCCAGAAGATTTGCCACATAGAATGTCAGAAGATATGCCAGAAGATATGCCAGAACATAAGCCAGAACATATGCCAGAAGATATGCCAGGTAGAATACCAGAAGATATGCCGCATAGAATGCCAGAAGATATGCCAGATAAAATGCCAGGAGATATGTCAGATAGAATGCAAGAAATTTTGCCAGTAACAAAACGTATAAATGTCATGGTGGGGATAACTCGAAGTAAAGTAATGTAGCTTTTTTTCTCCCTCACTGTCCGAATACTTCGCCCAACGATGAAGGCGATCATGTCTCCAAATCGTCACCATCCAAGGCATTTACTTGGCAAAGGAGCGTGAGACGTTGAAAGATGAATTGGATAGAAATGAAGGAGGATCTTCGGTGCCACAGGTGGTGAAAATGGCATCTGCTCAATGGAAGCAGATGTCCGAGGAAGATAAAGCCCCATATGATGCCGCTAGTCTGCATTTTCAGACTGCCACGCACATTGGTGTGCAGCATGGTGTCCTTCCGGATTCATCTGAGCCACCGCCAAAGAAGGAACGGACATACTCAACACGCAAGGGACAGACATTTGCTTGTGGACATTTATGGAAATTGTTCCAAACACAGTGTACGCGATGGGACTTTTCCAAATAAGCGATGCCCCCTTCCAAGATCTTTCAAGGTTATATCGTTTTGGACGTTGCTTTCAGTGCATTGTATCGGTTTGGGCTCGCAAGGGCACAAGATTGTCAGAAAGTGTTCTTCTGCATATCCATGGAGAGGTCCGCAGCGAAAGGGAATAGAGGCAGAAGCAGATGGCAAGTCCCTGAAAACATGTTTGTTTCACTAGCTGCCTTCACATCCTTGCCTAGCATGTTTTCATTGCCTGTCCACTGGAACTTTCGACATTTCGATTGCCTCTCCGCTGAAGTTATCTCCCCGTTACTGTTGTTTCGTGAAGCTTCCGTGTGACAAATTCTTGTCGTTGCTGACGAGTCTTTCCATTGCCACCAATGTGAACTTGCACTGTTTCGCTTGCCTCACTGCTGACCCTAGCTTCACTGCTGTTGTTGCATGCAGCTGCTATCTGACAAAGTGGTACAGTACCAACAGACCAACTTCGGACAATTCTCAAGCGAACTTTAGGGACGCCCTTGAACTTTAGCGATATTCTTACGCGGTCGAAGCAATACCGACGCGATATCCCTTTTTCTCTCCCAGTTGGCGTCATCGGGAACCCAACGTTTTCGAGATTGCTCATCTAAGGATGAGTACCAAGTAAAGCTGCAAACATGGAAGGAAGCCAACGCCACTTGGCGGTCTCATTTGTACTTGCCATCTGCAGCGTTGCATATCAGATATGGTACATTTTGTCACTGAATTATATTCAGCCGGGCCAGTCTAAATTTGTGCCATATGCCTATCTGTCCTAACTTGCTTATGTTGAGTCAGGCGCAGCAAAAAAAGCGGAAGACAAAGAATCGTGGGGGCGCAAAAAAAAATAAAATTGTGAAAGATCATCAGAAGGTGCCTTTCTCGTTGCATGTCGTGTGGACAAGCAAAGAAGTTTTTATGGAAACAGAGTGGACCGCTGCAAACGAAACAGCGTCACAAACGTGTAGATAGAAGACTTCGTCGCACCGCATGACATGATAGGTGGTGCGATCCTTGCGTTTTTGGGGAACCAAAGCAGTGGCCTATCTGGCCCAGGCTGCGTGTCCATGTCAACGCACCTGTGCGGAATGAAGCACTTTCATTTGAATCCTTGAATTGAAGCAAATCGGTAATATCATTGTACCTGAAAGCTATCTCAACTCACCCGTGCGGAGTGATGCACTTTCTTTTGCCTCCTTCAGACAAAGCAGTCATATCACTGCGCCTGCAACAAAATCCGGAGGCATGCAGCAAGGAACTGAGAGAACGAGCACTTGCTGCTGAAGCAGAACCGGTTGAGAATGCTGAGTCCGCAGACGTGGAATAGGATCACAGAGATGACTCACATGGAGGACACGGTGCGCTTCCAGGGACATGGGGGCTAGTCAGCACTGACAAGCACTGGCTGAAGATCCCATTCGGTGCAATCGGAATTTGGGTCTTCACCATTGTACACGTCCACATAGCTGTCCTGCATGGCATGGATTTTGAACGGATGGGAAATCATGCGTACGGCAAGGCACACTAGATCGACAATTAAAGGGAGAGAGAGAGATAGATAGATAGATAGATAGATAGATAGATAGATAGATAGATAGATAGATAGATAGATAGATAGATAGATAGATAGATAGATAGATAGATGTCTAGGCTTTAGCCAGTCTGCATCATAAACGTACAGTGGCTGGATGTAGGGTGATCCCACAGTCCTTTGCTGTAATTGTCAGGCTGCCCGCGCCATGCACTCGGAGCTGTCCCGACTCTGGCTGCTGTTGCGACATCTCCGCAGGTTGGTGCTTCATCAGACCGTGACGATCCCGGGGATTTATCGGTATCATAGAAGAGTGGTAAAAAACCCTCGCTGATGATTTTCCAATGGTTATATGTATATAAGCTATATCCAATAGATTCCATAATATATTGGGAATTAAGTATAGTCATCCATGAACTGGGAATCCCGCTCTTCATCAACGAATGAATAATGCACAGAAGTTTCTCATGGAGCTAGATGATCCAGCGTATGCGAGTCGTAAGATCCAATGGTTAGTTTATGATAATTTTATTGGAAATCATTGATTCTACCTCATGGTATTCAGAAATAATAATCCCGATATTTTCCACACATTTAATTTGAGGCATCTTCCTTGGCCCCCCCCAAAATGAACGGACTAGACCATGGCTTCTAAGGGGTCAATTATGGTTTGTTTGATACTAAGAGTAATAAATTATGATGACAAAGCCAAGAGGTTGTCAGGATACCCCATTCCATCGGGTGGTTGAACTTCATTTTCCCATACGTTCCCGAGTAGAAGTGATGGCCCTGATTGCCATAAGTGGGCGATCAATCCCCTATTGTTAGACTTTTCGGTAATGATAGTGATCATCACCCATCTTTGTATCTGCATTCGGAACGCCAGGATCGCTACACTGGCGGGGAGACGAGTCGTTTCAATCTCTGAGTTTTCGCCATGCCTGGATTTTTTCGGGTCAACTTGTAAGCGAAAAAAACACCTGCTATCATGTGCATTCATTTGCTGTTCCATCATTTTCCAAAAAAATTACTCCAAGAATGTATATAAATGTCTATAATATTTCATATTTAAATCTACTATCCCATACATTCCCGTGGAATCCAGAAAGTGGGAGCGTGCCTCTTTCCAAAAGAAAGATGGCCAGCGCCCCGCGCTTTCCGGGAGAAAGCGACCTGGATCTGGCGCACTTCCCAGCGTATGGCATTGCCACTACGGATCATATCCCGGACGCACAGGTTCGACGGTCAACCGTCAACGCAATGATCACTCGATCGTCACCATGGTGGAATGATGAAGGTTTACCTGAAAATACCTGAACAACTTGGTGGTCTATCATCAGTTGTCATGTTTCCATATGTTTCCATATGTTCCCACCTTTTTTCAATATGTTACCCAAAAAAACACCTGCCATGTTTGGCGCCTATCCTTGAAGTTTCTGAAATGTGCTCAACAGGGTGGGCCCGTTTTGTCCCGACTGGAGTGGCTGACGGATATTGTTCCGCATGAGACTGCATGCATGTAATATGTAACATGTATATCAATATGTGTATAACGGTATATACATAGTATGTTATATGGTATATATAGGTATGGGTAAAAAAAATGTTGATGGCATGATTCGTTTCATGTGACAACTGACCGAGCCAGATGCTTGCATTGAATTGCGAATGGTTGATTCCACCATGTACTTCGAGGTGACGAAAGGGGAAGGCCCCTGATTTCATCTGGTTTTTTTTTGCATAGTTCATCAGCATTCATCAGGTTCTCCGCTGTTGCCGCGTCATGATTGTGAGGCATGTAAGGCAATTAAAAAGCATCATCTGGTTGGTGGTTTCAAACATGTGTCATTTTGTATCCTATTTATGGTCTTGTCAGATTCAGACTGCGGCACTTGCAGCCTTTTTTTATAATCTAGAGAAGACAGAGACACAGAAAACGGGCACATACGTTTTGTGACAGGCAGGTGCAACTTGGTTGTAAACAAAACGTGCCGAAAAGGCAACGTACTTTTTCTCATTGACGTCAGTGGACCCCCAAGATGAATGGTGTCATCATGTTTCATCCACAAAAAAAGGACCAATTGTGTGTTCACATTTGCTCATGTTGCATCATCTCTCCTACTTAGCATGTTTGTCTGCATAGCCCGAAAACTGTGTCATGTCTGAGGGTAGGAGAAACACTGTGCTTCGGTTAAGCAGAAGTGAAGTTTGAGCAGCCACGAAGTCCGAAACCAAAAGCGACCAAGGGTTCCAAGAGGTTGAAGGGTACAGCGTTAATTAAAGCATCAAGCAATAAGTGAATGTTTGATGCTTATGTTATTGTAATTTGTTAATCATATTAACGATTCTGATTGTAATGATCAAATATACCAGTAGTACCCCACAAGGCGGTGGCACAGAAGTCAAAGATAGGACACTATAGGACAGGTGAGTTGTTGGGATGCATGGATGGCAGAGCGAAGCCACCGATCAAAAGAAGATCTAGATAGGTGAACCTGAGCCAACAAACACCACGTTTGGGGAGCACCACCTTGTCGAGATGATCTCTGAGGGATGGTTCCACGGAGCCGATGAGGAGGGCTTAGCCTATTTTCAAACGAACGCTCAGGTGTTGATTTAATTTGTGTTCCCCCGAAAAAATGGGCCAACTCCAACTTGCTGAAGTTTTTGATCTGTGTCAAATTCATTATTTTAGGGTGTATTTCTTCGTTTTTTTGTTTAACCACATCAACTTGCAAAAACAAGATTGATGTTATGGTGCATTCCTTGGAAGTCATCATGGTTTTTCTTAAAATATACCTCAAATCATCCAAGGCATGGAGGACCATTTTAGTATAGAAAATCATGTTGACTTGGGGATGTCCCCATTTTAGAACCGGCCCTTACATGTCCAAGGAACACTACTTGAACTTGCTGGCCTATGTGACAGCCTAGCACTCTGAGCGTCTTGGAGATGACACACCCTGACCCAGCATGAAAATTGGTTGTCCCAACATTGTATGTACCATCTGGTAAACATACCCCAAAAAATATGGAAAGTTCCACAATATTTCGATGGGTAAATCCATTATTTCTATGGCCATTTCCATAGCAAATGGTTAGTTTACCAGAGGGATTCTACCATGCAGTATCAGTTATAGAATTATAAATGGCTTATCACGATTTATGACTTTGGTTACCGGAGTTGATCGGAGTTGTGATATGTTGTACTTCCATGTATAACTGTAATTCTTAAAGGCCATAAGTGTGAACCTGGAGTCTCTATGATACCCTTCATAGCTATATCACACTGAAAATTCAAGTGGTGTATAGTCTACGTTCTACAGCCATATACATCATATACGGCGCCATATGATGGGGAATCTCCCATGATCTCCCTTGTCATATGTCTTATAGAGGCCACATGTAAAGCGGCCTGGTGGCTTCAACGGGCAGCTGGTTTGCTCCAACAGCCCGTCCCGAAGAAATCACCCAAATGTCCTGTGTATATCATATATCCCTGTGGATGGCTTTATGGCAAGCAGTTCTAAGAATAACAAGATTAGAATTTCCCTATCAACCGTTCCGGAAAATGAAAGCCACTGGCATGTGATTCCCACTATTCCATGCTACAGCTCATATGGATTTGCCTGAAAATTCAGTAATTACCCCTAAATCCCCTTCTTGATTAATCATCATGTTCACCATGAAAAACAGTGGAAAACAAAGTTCATTCTTGGTATCCACTATTTTGGACAAACCAAACTATCATTGATGTTGGTTGTAGATCCCATTTTGTATTATATCCCACTATATCCATATTAACATATTAATATACTAACCAATAATGACCATTTGTTTCTTCGTACATCTACAAAAAAGGCATTCACCAATGGACCGCTGGACCCCAAGGACGTCAGTGACACTCCAGCCAGCCGTAGGTGGGGAAGGGGTGAAGCATCCACAGATCATCATAGTCGGAGTTAATCCCTGTTATTTTGGCGTTCAGGGATTGCATGTGATATCAGGCCCATAACCGAATGTGGGGTGCCGTTTGGTTCCAGAATGTTGGCACCGTTTTGAGACATTGGAAAAGCTGTCGAAAAATGTGGAAAATCCAAATTTTCACGCAAGGATCTCAAGTGTGGATGGACAATCCGAAATCAGCCATGGCAGCTATTGTTCCAGGCAGTGGCTGCTAAACCCTACCCTAGAACATTGATGATAACCCTCTGGTAAACTAACATAGCTGTGGAAAATCACAATTTTTAGTGGGTAAATCAACTATGTCTACGGGCCAGTTTCAATAGCTATGTAACAAATTACCAGAGAGTATACCATCATATATCCCATTAAATCACCATTAAATCAGCATTAAATCAGCATTACATCACCATCAAATCACCATTACATCACTGTGAAATCAACATAACATCCCGTTTTTCTTACTCGGATTACCATATAAATCCTGATGAGTTCCAGAGGTCCGGACCACGATCCACGTTTTTTTTTTTCAGGGCCAGGACCTGGAGCACTTCGACACCAAAGTTTCTGGGCAATGAGGCGCCGGATGTGGCGTTTCCATCCCTGGGTTTGATCAGCGACATGTATATATATATTTTTAATAATATCTATATAGTGAATATATATATATACTATATATATATACTATATATATATACATACATAGTCTTCAAAGAGGGTTGACATCAACGAGTACTTCATTTTGCGACAAAAAAAAAGAACCGACTTCGCTTGCAAATGGTTCTCATCTGTTGACCCAGCAAGGTCTTGTCCAGTGAAGATCTCAAGACGCAACGTACTGAGAGCGGTTTGACACAGTGCCGGAAAGACAAGAAGGGGGCGCTGATGCTTGGATTAAACCCGATGCATCTGCAGGGGAGGCTGCAGTGGAACTTTCCATGGCAACACCAATGCGGGACGTTCCCGTGTTTTTTTTTTAACGGTTAAGTGTGTGTTTGGATGGCTTTCCCTGGAAGTGTGGCTTCAGGTTCGCATGGTTGGTTTCTACGATTGTATGGTTTACCATAGGATTACCATAGGATTACCATCCATAGGTTTACCATAGGTTTACCATAGGATTACCATAGGATTACCATAGGATTACCATAGGAGTTCTGAGATTCCCAAGATCTTCAATTTTCATCCATCCACAGACCGAGGACGGGTGTCTTCATTCCCACCTGTGAGCCTTCGGCAGCGATTCATCAGCTGTTTGGTGGTTAACCAATGGTTAACCAACAGCAAACATGGTGGTTAAGCCATGGTTTTGGTACAGGATTTTCAGAGAACCCCCAAAAAAACGGAGATGTTTTTGGTCTTGTTTCGGTGGCTTGAAATCATGGTCAAAATTCTGAGGAGAACATGTGGGGCGTGCTGATCTTTCTGCGATTTTACTACATTGCACCTCGGCAGTGGGCCGTCAGTGGGCCTTGGGGCGAAGGCCTTGGACCCAACGATCCAACGTGCTTCCCACGTGACGTCGCCCAGGTGGGAGAGGCGGGCATTTGGCAAACGCTGTGTGCGGTTCTGCTGTCCTTCGCTGCTGCCTTTTGTGCCACTTGTGTCCCTTGGATGTGAACACAGGGAACCCGCAGGGCGTGTTAGATCAAAGGGACCGTAGCCAAAGCACCCAAGTAATTCACGTTGCTTTGCTTGTTTGTTGGTCTTGTCATGGTAGTTTTGTCGATTCAATTCACACTTTTCGATACTTTTATTCTTAATGAGGTGTGATTTTTCATCCTTGTGTTTTGCTGATTCAATCCATCTTACAGACCATCTTTTTGCTTCTTTTTTTATAGCCACTTTTGTTGATTAAGACAATGTTAACCATTATATTTTGCTTGCTCAAAATGATATTATAATATTAATATATTTCATGAAATTAGCATATTAGATCCCCATCATATTACATCATATTACTATATATTTTGTCATTATAATGGATATATGTATATATATAATATATGCCATATATTTTGCTTGACCTCCCGACTCCCAGGCCATGTCATCCATTGCGTCCTCGGGGGGCTTGGTCAGTTCTGGTGGGCCCTACTACATGATCTCAAGAGCACTAGGAGAGCGGCTGGGAGATAGCGGATCATCGCCGATCATCTTGGAGTTGACGAACATGTGGACTTGGATACTCCATTCATGAATACAATTGAAGTATCGCAAATCACGAGCCAGTTTATGTATACTATTATAATCTATCATAGATATATAATGATATATAACTATATCAAAATATTATACGGGGTAGCCATGGGTAGCCTGAATGAATCCCCGGGTGCAAACTGGTATCAATATGATCTTTTGATAGATTCTATGAGAAAACTAATCTTGGCCAGCTCTTCATGCCTGAGTGTTCAGGCACAAGGGGGAGGCAGGTGAAGCAATTTCATCAAACAGGGCCACATCGAAAGTCGATGAATTTCTTTGTGGATCTGAAGATTGAACGTGTATATAACATCCCAGATATGTCACGATGAATCAGTGAATGACCTCAATAATCTGGCTTCGCACCAGACATTTCCTGTAGCAAACGGATGCAACAACCAGTCATTCCAGTCACATTTTTGGCGTTGCGCAGGACCCGTGGTCGGTGCAACCATTGGGATAATGTATTGGTTGGCCATCACCATGTTGTCAGTCCCTTTGCTTCGTCAAAAACGGCGCGAAAACGGGGTTTCCCACCATCCCCATAGGCCTATCTTCATGGGATGATGTTTGTAAAATGACTTCCAAATGCTTGGTGAATGGGCTGGTTTATGGCATTGGGTTAAAAATAACCACATTGGTGGCATGAACATAGCTATTACAGTATATCATGTTATAACATATTGTGGCATTATACCATTTACCACATTATGTCGTGTACTATGAACTAGGTTGGTGTGCACCGGGCTTGCTCTTGACAAGTCTATGTGTACAGGGCCCTAGCTCCAAATCCAGTGGTTTTTTTGTCATGGTAAATCCAGTGGTTTATCAAAATCTATAGGTTTTTTTTTTTTGCGGAGTAGACTACATTTTTGGAGAAACCAATTTCACCAGAATTGATAGTGACTTTCCGCGAGTTGGCGGATGTATGCGGATGTCATATCTCCTGGGTGTCATGGAATCGGGGTCCCCCGGTGTGCTCGAACCCAAATCGATGGAATCTTTTTTCCCAGCCCCAAACTTGGCCGCGAGAGCAGGGTATGAGGGTTGAGTGACCCCCATCATATCATCCTGAGATTGTTTGATGGGACGGATATTGGATGATGGTTCCGAATATTGATGGAATGATGGATAGCATCCCTGTGATCATCCCAATTTCTGATGAGATGTCAGGCCAAATGATCTAGTTCTCCATATCCCACCCCACTGTTCCTGTCTACCCCATGTTCAAATTCCATAAGCGCGGGGTAAAACACATTAAAGTAGCATATATTGATTCCTTATATATCCCTATATATATATACATACAATATATTGATGTTGTATACACTTAAATTCTCAGAAGTACCTTCTTACCATCCCGTATTCTAGCCATAAATTTACCGAATTCTACCTATTCGACTACCATTTCCCAGACGACCTAAAAACGGGCTGGAATCCACAACTCGACACGCTTCGGCCTGAGGTCTTAGAATGCCTCGGAGCCGTTGAGGTGTTGGTTGGATTCTAACCAACCAACATGGGGGAAGTTAGATACAACCAAACCTGGTTGGTGGTTGTGATGGTTTAACATGGTTTATAGATGTTTATAGCTGGTTGGTGGTTTCAAATATTGTTTTTTTTTTTTCCATTTCATATATGGGATGTCATCCGAAACCCATTGACGAACTCCATGATTTTTCAAGATGGTTATTGCACCACCAACCAAACATATGGGGTATGGGCTTGTCTGAAATTTGGATATACCGCCAGTTGCCGTTTCAAGAGGGCCAAAGAGGATGAAGCAAAGATTTGTTGGGGCACCTTTGGGGCACCCTATTCCAGATGAACCCAAGTGATAAAGATGGTGGGTTTTTTTTCGCATATTTCAAGCCAAAAAGCATCAAAAAGCGAAAAAAAAACAATGGCTTTCCACGCTGAGACACCCTGACTTCCCGACTTCCCAAGTCAGCCATGTTGACTTTCCGGGACCTCTCCGTTCGCCACGAAGCATGTTGATCCCAACAGGCCCTGGCGATGGCGGCACCTTCCATGCGATTTCCAGGTGCGAATTGACGGATGTGAGGGTTCGGCATGGTGATCCATGCCTTTACAGCAATTATTTGGGGATGGATCCATACCTACTATCCTATTTTTGGGGGGAATGAACCTTCATTTACCACCTATTTTGATGTTAGGGGATTTTGATGTTCGCTGACCATGGGTGACCATGGCATCAATGTTCGCATCAGCCCCGCCGCCGCCATAGCCATTTCTTCGTTGTGAACTCCAACTTTTTTTGGATCAGACTTTGATCAAGGTCCCCGTTTTTTTTGGTTGCAGCGACCCAGTTTTTGTTTTTGTATCCAATGACAAATGTATATGTATCTATCTGTTTGTCTGTCTGTCTGTCTGTTTGTCTATCTCTATCTATACCCAGATATCTACACACACACACTTCACACATGTAAGCTGGTTGGTGGTTTGGAACATTTGGACTTTTTTTCCATTTCACAAAAATGGGAATGTCATCATCCCAACTGACTTTTTTTATATTTTTCAGAGGGGTGGCTCAACTTCTCAACCACCAACCAGTCACCGCCTGTGGCTCCAGGTTTTCGGCAGGCCCTAGGCTCTGCCAGCATGGCTTTGTTGGCGCTGGCCGTCTGGGGAGGTGCCGTCTGTTTTTTTGGGGAAATATCTATATATCTATGATTATCTATGTAAATATGATAATGTATATATGATAAATAATGATATATATATATATACACAATTTCTTTATTATATATAATATAAAGTTATATGAAATTTATGATAATCTATGATCATTTCTATGTCTGTATATGAGAAATGACATATGAGATATAAGACATGATATATGATATATGATATATGATATATGATATGTGTACGTGTGAATACATGGCGCATATCTAGTTGGTGTTGTCATTCATGTATTTTTTGGTACAATTCTAAGAATGCGATGATAGTTCCGAAGCTCTTGCTAAATGTGGAGAGGCATGAATATCGTGACGAAATTGGGTCTTCTTTTCGCACTGGTCGTGCCTTGGCTGAAGGTGATTTGGGCTCCCCATTCAGCAAATGATTCATCATCTCATATAGTGAATAGCCTAGTCATGATTTGCTTTCCTGTGTGGGAAACCACCATCTTAGAACTCAAAACAGGATACGTTGCTCATGTTCAGCCCATTTTTTGGCGGTTAAGTCAAGTTATGCTTGTCGGTGAACACTCTGTCTTTGTTATTCAAATTCTAATCCTGGTTGCTTAAAGTTAGCCATGTTGGGCAACTTCCTGTGAACACTGTGAATTTGTCCATGTTTTTCGATGCAAAATCTTCAATTTTACATATCTGCGGATGCAAGACAAGTGGATCACTACCAGGTCGATGCCAAAAAAATACCGACGCAACACGCCCCCAGGTGGTCTTCACACTTTTCAGCTTCTACTTGGGCCTCTTCATGACGGGACCAGGCGGGCACCCTGTGCACCTGTGGATCCTGAGCGCAAGGTACTCGAAGACATGGCGATTTCCAGGGAACAGCCAGAGCCACTATTTTCACCATTTTTTGGTGGTTCCATTCCTGATTTCAAACACTACCCTCTGGTAATTTAACATAGCTATTGAAAATGGCCATTTATAGTGGATTTTCCCATTAAACATGGTGATTTTCCATAGTTATGTAAACGTTTACCAGAGGGTAACAAATAAAAATCCATTCCTGGATCCATTCCATCCATATCTGGATTTCTGGGACGACCATCCAATGTCTCGCCTGACCTCGGAGCGAGCCAGTGGTCGGTGCAGAAGCGACTGCCATTGAAACCATTGAAGCGAGTGCCAAACTTTGAACTAGTACTTTATATATTGTAATAGTAATATATTGTAATATATTGTAATATATTGTAATATATTGTAATATATAATATCATACTATTAACATATGATATATATATATATGTATATAATAATCTGATATATGGAAAATGTCTTGGTAACGAAGATTCATGCCGCATGGCGCTTTTTGTTTTCATCATCCCATCGACGCCGCAGGGACGGTGTCTCCGGATGTCCCTGGCAGCGAATACGTCACTGGGCTCAGCTGGGACTGGTCGGGCCTGGTGGGGCCTGGTGAATGGATGGCCGCATCTAAATCGGGAACAAAAGATGAAGTCAGCAGTTCAAAATTACATATATATATATAGACTTATCTGGATGTAGATATACAGATATAAGTATGAATTACAGATCTGTAAGAATATATATATATATAATATATATATATACATAGCTATAAATATATTTTTATATTATGCATAAATAAAAGATACATAGGTAAATACATATGTGGTAGGCCCCTATGCATCTAGACATCAAAGCTTAGCCCTGTTTGGTCATTTCAACTCCCATCCTCGTTCCACGAAACGGAAAATCTCCAGATATCGAAAAGGCCAGACTTTTTCATCACGGCCCAATGATGTAAACCACAGCTTGAGGCTATGTTTTTTTTTCTACCCAACTGACATGAAAACTAGGTGACACACTGGTTGTTGATGAAATTTGGGCTTACCATGCCACATGTTCTTACTGGTGCTTAGCAGGGAATGAGGGAATGATCTATAATCACTACTCATAATCATCCCATTCCCCCATTCCCATCCATTCCCTACTAAGCACCAGTAAGTTCAACATCTCTTTTGGGTAGATAGGTAGTGACTTGAGTCGCCGCAGATGGCCAGGAGATCTGGAATTTTCTGGTTAAAACCTGGCTTGTTGTTGGGGAACCCTGAGTTTTTACTGGCCCCGGCAACCCCCAACAATTTGTTATTGGTTGAAACGCCATGAAAACAAAACGTCATCATAGATGTCCCTTAAATTCCCATTGCTTGGTTGATAAACCTAGAGGGGTTTCTTCAGGTTTACCCCTTTAACAACAGGTTTCTATGATGATAGATGGTATACCGTTGGACATTGATGGGTCCAGTTGGTTCATGGAGCTCTCAGGAGACCTTTCAAAGCAATTGGAGCCCTCACTACGACTCAAACGTTGGCTTTGGGACCGTCTTGAGTCTCTTCTATCCATGCTTTACAGGCACAAATTTTTCGGGGGAGTTTCACCTAGAATTTTCTGGGGATTTTTTTTTGGGTGAACCAAGAGGACTGGCAAAAATTGGGGATTTATACGATGTAAATGGGGATATGAATAGGTACACAACCAACAAAACTGGTCGACTCCAGCAAAGTTGTGGGAAATTTATGGGAATTTTATGGGATCATGATGGGATCAGAATGGGATATAGGGGGATAGAACAGGATTTGGTGGGACATGCATATATGATCATATATGTATTGTTTGGTGATCTGACTGGTTCATTTCCAGAGGTCGCTAGGATGGTTAATTTTCATAGGGGAAATCATCCCCAAATGGCTTTGTTTCAGGTTAGTGAATGAATATCAAGAATACCCTTTGGTAAACAAACATAGCTACTGAAAATTTCCATTGACAGTTGATTTACCCATTAAACATGTTGATTTTCCATAATTGTGTTAGTTTACCAGAGGTTATATAATATATCATACTACATCCAGATTTTTGGAGGACGGAAGCCACATGGCGCACCGTGGCCTTGCGCCCCTTTTCGAATTTCAGGCATCTTGAGTGGCGCGAACCGGGCTGATGTTCTCAAGGACGGGTGGACACCAGCAGCGGATTGCTGGCTTTCTGAGTCATTTCCGCTCAAGATTCATAGCTCCCAAGTGGCAAAATAGGTCAGCCTTGGCTTGGCTTAGAACCACCAATCCCAATTGGCAAAATAGGTCAACCTTGGCTTGGCTTAGAACCACCAAGCGACCAGCAGGACCCGCCGCGAAATATTCGTATTGGCACCTTCGGGGCTATTGTGTTGCTTGAGATTTTTCCGCTGATGGCTCTGGAAATGGGGATCCCCAACTTATCAATTCGTGGCACTTTGGAATTTGGGAATATGTGGGAGGGATATCATTTTTCGGTGGTTATGGTTCATCAGTAGAAGGGATCCTGTCCCAGTTCAAACAGTTCCGGAAGTGGGAACGGCACCAGGTGATGTGGCAAGATATCATGAAGTGGGTACCCTCTGGTAACATAGCTCTGGAAAATCATGGAATTAACATCACCATTTTAAATCTAGGTAAATCATCTGTTCAAATGTGCCGTTTTCATCCGTTTTCCATAGCTATGTGAATAATACCAGAGGCTATGGGTGAAGGTCTACAACATTTCGGATCAACTCACCAAACATGAAAAAGACCCGGAGAAACTCACATGGATTTGAGGCACATTGCGGCATGGCCGGGTTACCCATGGCTACCCCATTTTCGGGACCAGTGGCGGGGTTGTTTGGGGATGGTCATTCCATGGCGATGCCAATTGGCCAAGGTTTAGTTTCTTCCTCTATACTTCTTTCTTCCTGCTCTGGGGCAGCTTGGCGCTTTTTGAGGCCAGCCATTTCACTTTTTTGGCCCGGTCAGTTGTTGGGACGCCTTTTTTGAAGATTTTTTTACGTGGCCAAACTTGTTGGGGAAGCATAACCATGCACCAATGTTTTGCCTGTCAAAGACGGAGGGTTCCATCAACAATTCAATCTGCATGGCAGAAGCCTGGACCAAGCAGGATCAAGCTCTTAAGCTCGCAGGTGAACCAAATCAGTGGATATCAATCCCAACAATTGATGGCCTGGTTTGCCCTGAGAGATGCTGATCAGCTCATGAATTTGTAGCATTTTGTAGCTGGTTACTATGGACTGAACCGTTCCAACCCACATATCAATAGGACAAATATCGACTTATCATCAACCATGATCGACTAATTGAGGCCCACTTACAATCAGTGGGATAATCCTCCACGTGTTTCTTTTCACATTTTTCACAGTAAGCCTACCCCAAATCCCAAACGGTTGAAGCCGAGGAAGCGTTGCCACCGACACTTACCTCAAGGGTAACTTTTTGGATGATCCTCATGCCAGAAGGCTGTCCTCTGGCGGCGACATCTCGGAGGAGGCTGGCCGCAGCTTGGACTGGAAAAAATGGATTGGACACGTGCTCGGGGGGGAGGGTGTCAGGAAGCTTTTCAGAGGTTTTCTGTAAAGTTTTTTTCTTCTTCTGCTCCACCGCTGAAAGCTCTTGAGTCTGCACTGTTCTGAAAAGAATGCGAAAGCGTGTGGCTACCAAAGAGTTTGTCAGGAGATTTAGGGGGTCAGTCTCCCAAAATCTGATTTCGGACCTCGTTTGGACCTCGTTTGCACCTCGTTCGGACCACGTTAAAATTGCCGCCAGTCAAAACCCAGCCCGGAGAGATTTTGGAAAGGCTTTGCAATGGTCTGCTGCTTGGTCTGCTGCTTGGTCTGCTGCTGCTGCTGCTGTTGTTGTTGTTGCTTGTGTTGCTGCTTCTGGGCAAGGCGCGGTTTTTGGGCAGAGAAGCAAGAGATTTTGTCTGGCGCAAGCGGTGTGCCAGCCATGCGGCTGGCGCAAGTTCTAGTAAATGGCGTAGGTATCAATGTGCATGTTTGGATAAGCGTCCACATGGTGTTTAACATCCGTGGATACAACATATTTTTAAGATTGTGGGATTTGGAAAATTTGGCAATGGATCTCAAAATAACACTTCTATATAGTGCGTCCCATGGTGTTCTAGACCTGGTTGCATTGACTTGTTTGACTTCCTGAATGCGCGGCCTTCCATGCAGCTTTTATCTACGTTCCACATATGCACTGACTTTCACGTCCCAGTGTACGTAATGTTTTCCGAGACGAGATGTTTTTTAGCCATGTGGCTACCGGGATCCGAAGGGTCTGCTGGAGTTTGCTGGGAGCTCTGGAGCAATAGTTGTCACCAAGGGTAGGTGAGGCTATTTGTAGTTCCCATCATTAGGGGGACCATATCTGTTTGACAATGGAAGATTAAGCTGATTAATCCATGGGAAACATGATGAAGACTTTCCATGAGCGCCGAGGACGAGGCGTTGCGGCGTTGCGCCGTTCCCAACCGAGCGCCGCTGCGGGTGGCAGAAAACACGTTTGGTTGCTCAAAACGAGAGCCGTGGTCAACGGAGAATCAAGTGCCGGTTGATGGTTAAAAAAAAACGTGCTGAAAACTTCCGGTGCGTTGGAACTTCTCAGCAGTATCAAGATCAAGTGACCAACGGTCATAAAGAAGACATGAATATATATATATATAGATATATATATATATACGTATAGAACCTGGTGGGTGGTTTCCAACATTTTACAATATAGGGGATTATTAATTCCAACTCACTTTCACATTTTTCAAGATGGGTAAAACCACCAACCAGTATATATATATGTATATATAAAATCATCGACCAACTGTAGAAAGAATTCGGTGTTTGGGAGTGGCAATTGAGTGAACGTGGATTGCAAGGCCCTGCCGAGTGTGATGGACGGATGCCAATCTCAGTGTTCACTTTGTAGACGTTACTTTCTGATGGTTTGGGAACGTGTGAAATGTTGAATGTAATTGGGGGGGGATGTTTGATATACCATGCAAAGCATTATTTGTATACCCCATAGGGTCCATGTATGCTATATATGTATGTATATATGGTAACATTTACCAGCAATATACTCCAAATGTTAGCATATATATACCCCCATCTAGTGGAAAAAGACTCCAAAGACATCAACGTTGCTGCATGGTTTCAAGACCATTAATTGCATTCTGTATTTAGACAGTTGCATCGGAATCTGATACGATGTGGATCTGCAACCGCTCTAGAATTTTGAATCAATACCTGACATCTTTTCTTTGGCCTGGGCCTAGACCTGCAGCGGACATGTGCTCAAAATGAGTCGTGACGTCGCAGTCTGAAAATGACATGTGGTCTGGATCTCAAATCAACATCAGACTTCAATAAATTGTGACATCGCAATCTGAAAATGCCATGTGGTCTGGAGCTCTCTCATCGACACGATGGCATGAACACTTTTTTGTTCCATTCAGCATGATTAGTGATGTGGAAGCTTTGCGCAAAGCATTGCTAGCCAAAGTGCCCGTTGGTGCAGCTGTGCCGCTGGATGAGTTGCGGGCCGAGCTCCGAAAGGAGTTCTCTTCGGCAACGGTGGAGATAGGCATGCGGCAATTAGCAATGCAGGGGGTGGTGGCGGTACAAGCAGGAGCTGTATCACTGAGTAGCTCATCTGCCACCGTCGTGCAATCTGGGAGCCCACGATTGCTGCAAAGCTGCTTGGCATATCTCGTTCATTGTCTCCCTTCATTACGAGTTCCTGTGTTTTCGGATTAACGGAATGCGGTCCCTTTGTTCCTGCCTAGTAGCATGCGGGCCGACTAGCACCCATGCCCCATTGTCAACTCGCTGTCAAGTCGCAGTTGCTCAAGTCTGAAGACAGTCGCCCACTTTCCGGCTGCTTGCTAAGGCTATGCGGACCATGCTCTACGTGAATCCCCTAGCCCATTGCAAAATCGAGATAGCCCATGGACCAAGGGTTACAAACGCACCTCGTCGTTCAATTCATGGATCAATGAAATAACCCCTGTAATGGTTTCTGTGAACTTCCATTTTTTCGAAAAATTGAAGTTATGTTGACACCGCTAAGCAGAACTGACATCCCTTGCGCATCGCTGACATCTGTGCGAATGGCTCTTTCGCCACAGCGAAACGCTCATTTTGGATCATATGCACTTTGCATTTGACAAACAAACGAAACAAAACGGGTGAAAGCGGGGCGAACCCACCCATGCCAACCCAACATCTTGAATTGGTGTAAGGTTGGTACAATTTCGGCCAACCTTGGTGCACGCCGGACAGCACCAAGCAGGACAGTTACGCGCAACTCATGTAGCAATGACCGTTGTCACAGTCACCTTGCGCAGGACCAAAGAGAAGAACGGTGGTACGCCCCAGAGCCATTCGACTTCAGGAGAGTGAAGGTGGGATGGCGCCAGCATTGAAGTCATCATTCCCATGTGATCCCACAGCTAGATTCTGTTCAGGCCACTGACTCTGTCGCGAAGTCATTGACGTTTGGAGATGAGGTGGGCATATCACCCATGGCCATGGATATTTTGTATCAGATAGACTTACATTCTCACCTTTATTGATTATGGCCTTATGCCCAGTTTTTTTTGTATCTATAGAAGTTTAGACGTCAAATTTCAGACTTATGGCAAGATCCCGCAGGTCAGTCCAAAGACAGAAGAGACACAGAGAGAGAGAGGGAGGGAGAGAGAGAGAGAGAGAGAGTTACTGGAGCTGTCTGGATCGCCTTGCATTACTGAAGCCATATGTTGTTCACCTTTGGTAAAGCGAGCCGAAATGCTGCAGTTAGTTCAGATGGCTAGCGAGCAGAAGTTTGGAGCACGAGCAGCATTGTGTCTAGTTGATGTCCATATCTTGGCCAGCCGCCAGGTCCCTGCACAGCCCGTGAGTTCCATGGCCTACCGAGCACCCATGACCTCCTACCAGGCAGCATCTGGTTGGTTTTCATGTTTGTGTAACAAGACAATTTTTGGGCATTGCTTTTGCGGAAGAAAAAATGTGGAGCAATCCTAGGCTTGCTCAGGCCAGGTCGGTCATGGCGAAGAACCTGTGTTGGCGACTATCACTATGGACCAACACAATCAACACACTGCAATATCGATATTGATATTTAACGTCCTCTAAATTAAACACATTTTTCCAGTTTGTTTGGGGGTCTGGCACTTTGAGGCTGCCCAGCCTATGCGTGGTGAGAGAGGGAGGGAGGGAGAGAGAGAGAGAGAGTTACTGGAGCTGTCTGGATCGCTTTGCATTACTGAAGCCATATGTTGTTCAACTTTGGTAAAGCGAGTCGAAATGCTGCAGTTAGTTCAGATGGCTAGCGAGCAGAAGTTTGGAGCACGAGCAGCATTGTGTCTAGTTGATGTCCATATCTTGGCCAGCCGCCAGGTCCCTGCACAGCCCGTGAGTTCCATGGCCTACCGAGCACCCATGACCTCCTACCAGGCAGCATCTGGTTGGTTTTCATGTTTGTGTAACAAGACAATTTTTGGGCATTGCTTTTGCGGAAGAAAAAAATGTGGAGCAATCCTAGGCTTGCTCAGGCCAGGTCGGTCATGGCGAAGAACCTGTGTTGGCGACTATCACTATGGACCAACACAATCAACACACTGCAATATCGATATTGATATTTCACGTCCTCTAAATTAAACACATTTTTCCAGTTTGTTTGGGGGTCTGGCACTTTGAGGCTGCCCAGCCTATGCGTGGTGAGAGAGGGAGGGAGAGAGAGAGAGAGAGGGGGTTACTGGAGCTGTCTGGATCGCTTTGCATTACTGAAGCCATATGTTGTTCAACTTTGGTAAAGCGAGTCGAAATGCTGCAGTTAGTTCAGATGGCTAGCGAGCAGAAGTTTGGAGCACGAGCAGCATTGTGTCTAGTTGATGTCCATATCTTGGCCAGCCGCCAGGTCCCTGCACAGCCCATGAGTTCCATGGCCTACCGAGCACCCGTGACCTCCTACCAGGCAGCATCTGGTTGGTTTTCATGTTTGTGTAACAAGACAATTTTTGGGCATTGCTTTTGCTGAAGAAAAAAATGTGGAGCAATCCTAGGCTTGCTCAGGCCAGGTCGGTCATGGCGAAGAACCTGTGTTGGCGACTATCACTATGGACCAACACAATCAACACACTGCAATATCGATATTGATATTTAACGTCCTCTAAATTAAACACATTTTTCCAGTTTGTTTGGGGGTCTGGCACTTTGAGGCTGCCCAGCCTATGCGTGGTGAGAGAGGGAGGGAGAGAGAGAGAGAGGGAGTTACTGGAGCTGTCTGGATCGCTTTGCATTACTGAAGCCATATGTTGTTCAACTTTGGTAAAGCGAGTCGAAATGCTGCAGTTAGTTCAGATGGCTAGCGAGCAGAAGTTTGGAGCACGAGCAGCATTGTGTCTAGTTGATGTCCATATCTTGGCCAGCCGCCAGGTCCCTGCACAGCCCATGAGTTCCATGGCCTACCGAGCACCCGTGACCTCCTACCAGGCAGCATCTGGTTGGTTTTCATGTTTGTGTAACAAGACAATTTTTGGGCATTGCTTTTGCTGAAGAAAAAAATGTGGAGCAATCCTAGGCTTGCTCAGGCCAGGTCGGTCATGGCGAAGAACCTGTGTTGGCGACTATCACTATGGACCAACACAATCAACACACTGCTATATCGATATTGATATTTCACGTCCTCTAAATTAAACACATTTTTCCAGTTTGTTTGGGGGTCTGGCACTTTGAGGCTGCCCAGCCTATGCGTGGTGAGTGGCTGCTGCAGCTGCCCCAACCGGCGGCGACGCAGACCACGGTTGCGACATCGATGGATCCGCAGGTAAGTTGGCTGTTGTCAATTTCCTGAGTTTGGGCGTTGTTGACGCAGGTTGTATCAGAAAGTTGGATACATATTGCATCAAAATGAATATGAACTATGCTGTGCATGTCATTGTTAGCTTCATCACTCTCAAATCTTCGGAGGTAATACGAACTTATGGTGTTGACGCATCCCTAAACACTGCCTTAAGCCAATTCAGAATCCTACGATTGTCGGTTGTAAATACATATAATTGACTTGGGCATGGTTTTTTCAGGTTTTTGATCGGGAGCGAACCATGGTGCTCCCAGGTTCCAGCGCTTTGATTTTCAGACTGCCTAGGCAATGCAGCCGCAGCCGCTCCCACAGCAGTTCCAAGTTGCCCCGGCTTGTGCAGCTTTAGTGACATCGATGTCTTTGAAGGTCACGAAGTGGTTGAACTTTTTGAGTTTAAACTCGAGTGTGCCAAAAGATTGCATGTTTATAGATCAAATTTGAGATATGAACTAGCATATCTGCGCAGCGCGCCGCAACACGCTCAAATCCATGGAGGCGATAAAACCGTTGGTTATGCTGAGCGCCATCTGTTTCACGTCGTTTCAGACCGTCTTATTTCATAGCATTTAATGCCATATTAGAATCCTCCAAATTTGGGGCGTGAAGACCAAATATGATATTGACATCGTGGTTTCCTGGGCAATCCATAGTGATCCCACAGTGTTACTCTTTCATTGTCAGGTTGCCCAGCCGGCTGAACCACAGCCGCTCCCACTGCAGCACTGTCATCCGGCTTCGACGCTGGCCTCAGCGACATCTCCGCAGGTAAGTGGAATGTTGGGCGGCGGTTGTTTGTTTCTGTGGTAGCGTAAACTGAAGTTTTTCCAGCGCTTGGCTCTGCCGCACGCTTCAGAAAGATTTGAAAAATGCAATGCTGTGGCTGTTGGAGACATCGCTGAACGTCTATTCGCAGATCGTAGTGTTTAAAGCTGAGTAAATCGTAGAGTACACTTGATATGAACTCACCTGTCCTCATAGGGTGGTCGCCAGGCTACCCATCCAATCCCACCTCTTCTGTTCCGACGGCAGCACCATCCGGCATCACCTGTTTCGACTCCACCGCAGCCGCTCCTACAGCAGCATTGCCAACTGGCTTCGACGTTGGCCTTTGGTGCAACATCTCCGCAGGTATGTGGGATGTGGGGAATTGTTTGAAGTTTTTCCAAGATAATACTAAAAGATGAGTGAATTGAATTGAAAATTGGATTTGATATTGGGCCTCAGCTTTTCATCTTCTTTTGGTCCCTTTTTACATATTTTAGAAATAGGTTGGGCACAGGTAGTTTCAACCACTGACGCTTACTGAGAACCATTTTTGGCCTGAAGGTTGCGCGCAGGTTTTCATTCGACCGTGTCTTCTTGCAAGGCTCGGCATTTTTGACGCCTAGACGGTGAACATTGAAATTTTGAGAGGTGTATCTTGGGAGGTTGGATGAGGATGGGTTTGCAAAATTGAGTCATTGGTCGTTGAGATTGTATCTTGGGACGTTGGTACAGGATGGATTGGCTCACATGCGTGGTGTAACATGGCAAGCTGTTCCGGCAAAGTTCAAAACAGGGATGTGTGAGATGAACAAGTTCGGATCTGAAGTGTGTAGTGTGTTTTGGGACGTTGGTTCAGGCTGGGTTAGCACACATGCGTGGTGTAACATGGCGAGCTGTTCCGGCAAAGTTCAAAAGATGGATGTGTGAGATGAAAATCTTGGGGTCTGAGGTTTTGTGGTGTGTCTTTGGAACGTTGGTTCAGGGTTGGCACACATGCGTGGTGTAACATGGAGAGCTGTTCCGGCAAAGTTCAAAAGAGGGACGTGTGAGATAAAAATCTTAGGGTCTGAGGTTTTGTGGTGTATCTTTGGGACATTGGTTCGGGGTTGGCACACATGCGTGGTGTAATATGGAGAGCTGCTCCGGCAAAGTTCAAAAGAGGGATGTGTGAGATGAAAATCTTTGGGTCTGAGATTTTGTGGTGTGTCTTCAGGATGGGTTGGCACACATGCGTGGTGTAACATGGAGAGCTGTTCCGGCAAAGTTCAATACAGGGATGTGTGAGATGAAAATCTTAGGGTCTGAGGTTTTGTGGCGTGTCTTTGCAACATTGGTTCAGGGTTGGCACACATGCGTGGTGTCATCTGTTCCGAGTTGTTCAGGCAAAGTTCGAAACAGGGATGTGTGAGATGAAAATTTTCGGATTGAAGTTTGTAGTGTGTCTTGAGACGTTTGTTCAGGATGGGTTGGCTCACATGCGTGGTGCAACATGGCAAGCTGTTCCGGCAAAGTTCAAAACAGGGATGTGTGAGATGAAAATCTTAGGGTCTGAGGTTTTGTGGTCTGTCTTTGCAACATTGGTTCAAGATGGGTTGGCACACATGTGTTGTGTCGAGTTGTTCAGGCAAAGTTCGAAACAGGGATGTGTGAGATGAAAATTTTCGGATTGAAGTTTGTAGTGTGTCCTGGGACGTTGGTTCAGGATGGGTTGGCTCACATGCGTGGTGTAACATGGAGAGCTGTTCCGGCAAAGTTCAAAACAGAAACTGGGTGGGATGAAAAGGGTGTGGTTGACCGTTCTCTGGGGAAGTTTTGATTTTACAGTTTAATGTTTTTTTTGAACATACGCTGAGCACTGCTGTTTTCATCCCTTGTGCCATTTTTATTTTCAATTTTCAACATACCCCAGGCACACTGAGTTTAATCTTTTGTACCTTGATTTTTCATTTTCAGACATAGGGGTGGGGCCGTCTTGTCATCGTTTCACTTTTTTTTTGCTCATACCTTGGCCCTCCAGGTTTTTAACCTAGGTGTTTGGGATGAAAACCTGGTGCTGCACCCTAAGTTGAACGTCTAACGGGGATAAGAAATGTTTTTCTTTATACCAATCGTTGAAAACACTTTCAGTGTCAGGCTGCGCATCCAGTGCGACTTGATCCGCCTCTACAGCGGCACCATCCGGCATCGCCTGGGCCGATGTCACCGCAGCCGCTCCAACAGCAGCATTTCCAACTGGCTTCGACGTTGGCCGTCGGCGCAACATCTCCGCAGGTATGTGGGATGTGGGGAATTGTTAGAAGTTTTTCCGAGATGGTACTAAAAGATGAGTAAATTGAAACTTGGATTTGATATGGAGTAGCCGGTCTGCATCATAAACGTACAGTGGGTGGATGTAGGGTGATCCCACAGTCTTTTGCTTTAATTATCAGGCTGCCCGCGCCATGCACGCGGAGCTGTTCGCACCGCAGCACTATCAAGCATCGACTCTGGCTGCTGTTAGACATCTCCGCAGGTTATTTGAGTGTTGGGAAGCACTTGACAATGGGTGCTTTTTTGCACAGGTTGTATCAAAAGATGAATAAATAAGGACTTGGAACAGATTTGATCTATAGCCGACCTCACCACTCTCAATTGTTCAGTTGATCCTGTGCGAGACGGTCCCTTTGATTGCCCACATGACCCAACAAAGCATTGGAGTTGCATATTGAAACAAATTAATGTTTTACTTGATACCCATGGTTGAAAACACTTTCAGTGTCAGGTTGCGCATCCAATGCGACTAGATCCGCCTCTACAGCGGCACCATCCGGTATTATCTGGGCCGTCTCCACCGCAACCGCTCCCACAGCAGTTCCAACCGGCTTCGACATTTGCCTTGGGTGCTACATCTCCGCAGGTAAGTTCTATCTGGAATTGTTGGAAGTTTTTCCGCGATTGTACTAAAAGATAAGCAAATTGATGCAAATTGAAAATTGGATTTGATATGGAGTAGCCGGTCTGCATCATAAACATACAGTGGGAGGATGTAGGGTGATTCTGCGGTCTTTCGCCTTGATTGTCAGGCTGCCAGCGCCACACACTCGGAGCCGGTCCCACCGCAGCACCATGTGGCATCGACGCTGGCAGCTGAGGCGACATCTCTGCAGATTATGTGAGTGTTGGGAAGTACGTAACTTTGGATGCTTGTTTGAACCGGTCGTATCAAAAGATGAATAAATGATGGGGATGCATGTTTTTTGGACCTGGGCATCCTTTTTTTGGACTTGTACATGTTTTTTGGACCTAACCAGATTTTTTTTTTGGACCTAGGGTCACAAAAAATGTGGGGGACTTGCCTATGTGTTTTCTGGACCCTGTGGGAATATTTAAGGGCTGCCGCCCCTGCCGCCGACCCCGGAAAAGAATGTGAAGAAGCTGGGGAAGGCCAGAGACTTCGGACAAAGTGACATAGTCGGTGGATTACCAAGGTCACAAGATTGACCTAAATATTCTTCAGTGCTTCGCACTTTCAGGCCCCCCCTTGTTTATATGTATATTTCATAAGGTATATTTAATATTTTTGAATGCAATATATTTGACAAGATATTTTGATATAGTAAGAACACCCACCCACCAAACCCCTTCACCCCCCTGAGCAGTTCCTCGACGACTTCAACCAGAGTCTGGGTCTTGAGCTCGTGAATTATTAAATAAACCTTCCCATTAACCCCCCCCCGTCTGTGGCAAGGTGCAGTGTTGTGCCATGGCAAGGCGTAGACACGAAGAAAGACACACAGTATGCATAGCATCCATTATTTCCGGTACTAATAGTTCAGGTATTCTATTCAAATTATAGGGATTTGGTATCGCAGCTTTAGGGTTCTTGGTGTCCAAAAAAGATGTGGGAAAATATGATGGCTGGACATGCTCGGCCATCGTATTTTCCCACGTCCTCTTTTTCTGGGTCCCATGGAAGCGCGGCAAAATCGGGAAAAAAAACAAACACACAAAATTGCAAACACGGAACAGAAGACACTTTCATGGTATTTGGTGTTTTCAAAGTTTCTTGGTGTCTTCAATTTTTTGTTGCATCAATAAAAATATGTATATATATGTAAATATAAACATTTGCATTAGTTACAGATATATACCAGGACTTTGTCCTTGAAAATAAATACCATAGCCAGGACCATGACATGCATGAAACAGTAACTAGTCTGCCGAACAGGCAGTGTCCTGAACAGGGACGTTTTTTTTCTTTTAAATACTAAACATATGTAGTCCAGGACTCTGTCTTTGGAGTTAAATATATATATACCAGGACCTTGTCCTTGGAGTTACATATGTAGATATAGTCCAGGACCTTGTCCTTGGAGTTACATATGTATATATAGCCCAGGACTCTGTCCTTAGAGTTAAATATGTATATATATATATATACCAGGACCTTGTCCTTGGAGTTATACAAATATGTGTAGCTTAGTTCCACTTTAATAAACATGAGTCCAGATTTTTGTCCTTGGAAATTTCTTACCATGTCTTCTGTCCTTGCAATTTGATGGACTTTGGCTGGTATGTATGTATGCAATGTAACGTTATGTAGTGTAGTGTACTGTACTGTAAATGTACTGTAAATGTACTGTCATTGTATTGTATTGTAACGGAATGTAATGCAATGTAATGTATTGTAATATGTATTTATATATATATAAGTATTGAAATATAAATACATATATATATGTAAATAGAAACATTTCCATTAGTTACAGATGTATACCAGGACTTTGCCTTGAAAATAAATACCATAGCCAGGACCATGACATGCATGAAACAGTAACTAGTCTGCCGAACAGGCAGTGTCCTGAACAGGGACGTTTTTTTTTAAATACTAAACATATGTAGTCCAGGACTCTGTCCTTGGAGTTATATATATATATATACCAGGACCTTGTCCTTGGAGTTACATATGTAGATATAGTCCAGGACTTTGTCCTTGGAGTTATGTATATATATAAATATATATATATATATAGACCAGGACCTTGTCCTTGGAGTTATATTTGTATATATAGTCCAGGACGCTGTCCTTGGAGTTAAATATATATATATATGCCAGGACCTTGTCCTTGGAGCTATGTATATATATTTATATAGTCCAGGACTTTGTCCTTGGAGTTATGTGTATATATATATACATAGACCAGGACCTTGTCCTTGGAGATACATATGTATATATAGCCCAGGACTCTGTCCTTAGAATTAAATATGTATATATATGTATATAAATATATATATACCAGGACCTTGTCCTTGGAGTTATACACATATATGTAGCTTAGTTCCACTTTAATAAACATGAGTCCAGATTTTTGTCCTTGGAAATTTCTTACCATGACTTCTGTCCTTGCAATTTGATGGACTTTGGCTGGTATGTATGTATGCAATGTAACGTTATGTAGTGTACTGTACTGTAAATGTACTGTATAGTAAATGTACGGTAAAAACCCTCAGTTTGCCCGCGCCAACGCCGACGACGTGTCCGAACATCAAAAAATACTGCGTTTTGTGGGACAAAATGCACATGTCCATGATCATGGCTTTCATCTTGCAACGCACAGCTTAGCTACCTGTGCGTTGAATGTTACAACAACATCGTCATCATCATCATCAGAATCATCACCATCATCATCATCATCATCATCATCAAACCCTTATTGAAGATCTTCAATGAATGTAGAAGTTTAATGGGGTGGGAAAACTAAACCCTTATTGAAGATCTTCAATGAATGTAGAAGTTTAACAGCGGTGGGAGAATTGACCCCTTATTGAGGATCTTCAATGAATGTAGAAGTTTAACGGGGGTGGGAGAATTAAACCCTTATTGAAGATCTTCAATGAATGTAGAAGTTTAACGGGGGTTGCAGAATTAAACCCTTATTGAAGATCTTCAATGCATGTAGAAGTTTAACGGGGGTGGGAGAATTAAACTCTTATTGAAGATCTTCAATGCATGTAGAAGTTTAACGGGGGTGGGAGAATTAAACTCTTATTGAAGATCTTCAATGAATGTAGAAGTTTTTAACGGGGGTGGGACTGCAATATTCCCTGCTACCTTTGTTGATTTTCCCAATTGAATGTAAAGTTTAACGGGGGTGGGAATTTATATTCCTAATACTCTGGTTGATCTTCCCAATTGAATGTAAAGTTTAACGGGGGTCGGAATTTATATTCCTTCAAAATCCCTAAGAAGTTGTGTGGGCGAACTGGGGGGTTTGCGCGTAAATGTACTGTCATTGTATTGTATTGTAACGGAATGTAATGCAATGTAATGTAATGTAATATGTATGTATGTATATATATATAAGTATTTAAATATAAATACATATATATATGTATGTAAATAGAAACATTTCCATTAGTTACAGATGTATACCAGGACTTTGTCCTTGAAAATAAATACCATAGCCAGGACCATGACATGCATGAAACAGTAACTAGTCTGCCGAACAGGCAGTGTCCTGAACAGGGACGTTTTTTTTTTAAATACTAAACATATGTAGTCCAGGACTCTGTCCTTGGAGTTATATATATATATACCAGTACCTTGTCCTTGGAGTTACATATGTAGATATAGTCCAGGACTTTGTCCTTGGAGTTATGTATATATATAAATATATATATATGACCAGGACCTTGTCCTCGGAGTTACACTGTGGTCTAGGTGAGCAAGGCGCAGTATTGTTAGTGGCAAGGCGCAGCAGCTAGCTAAAGCGCACAGTATGCATTCAGGTATCCAAGTGTCCAAGTTTGTCCAAAGTTTTCTCGTTTCCCTGTCCGGAATTCTATACTTGCAATGATCCACATCAAAGTTTGGCAATTGCAACGATTTCAATCGATTTCATATTTATATATACATGACATATAAAGTTTCATCTATGCACCCATCACTTTGAAGATGCAGAAACCACAAATAAAACCGCACAGAAACTTTAAATGATAATTACCTCAAATGACATCCTAAAGAAATCCTAAATGATACTTTGAAAAAAAGACATCAAATGAAACCTGAACTGAAACCCTTGAACAACTGTAACGAAACTCGAAATGAAACCTTAAGTTGAAACCTTACACGAAACCCGAAAGAAACCCTAAATAAAATCCCAAATGAAACCCTAAAGAAACCCGAAACGAAATCCAAAAGAAACTCCGATGAAACACTAAATGAAACCCTTACTGAAATCCTAAAGAAGCCCTAAAGAAGCCCACTTGAATGTTTAGAGATCGTGAAAAGAAGTCCTGAAAAGGAACCCAGGTATGAAACCCTAAAGAAAGCTTCAATGAACTCCTGAATGAACCCTTACGTGAAAACCGAAAGAAACCCTAAATGAAGCCGTAAATGAAGCCCTGAATGAAGGTCCAAATGAAACCCAAAACGAAACTGTAAATGACACCTCCATCAATCCATAACAATGCGATTTTTCTTCCATGGGGTCTGTCTGCCTGAGAAACCCCAATTCGACTTTTCGCCCAGGCGTTTCAGCTTCATCGTTGTATATAGTAAGTCCCCAAAAAGGATGGAAACAAGAACCTACCTACCCATAAAAATGATGTTTTTAGTCATGGGGGATTCCCAACTGACCATATCCACGGTTTCAATTTTGGATGAAACATGCAGGTATCCCTATTGCAGGAATTCCCGATAGTGTTTCTGACATATCTGTTGGTCCATTTTTTTAGGGTAGCCAGATTTTTTTGGGCGATCACAAGTCTACGATACTCTAAGATGTGCCTCAGCAATTTGATGTGGCCGTTGAATGCATAAGTTTTCCTGAGGAAATCCTCCAATGGTTTATATGGGGTATTGCAAGTTTCGGATATACACTACAAGTTTCTCTTGATCAAAGGATGAAACAATTCTATATAGTTCATAAATAAATAAACAATATATATATATATTTATTTGTTTATGTTTGTTTTTATGTGTATAATTATATATATATATAATATACGCACATAGGGGCCGAAGAAACCTGCTTCCAGGGAAGACGAACCGGAAGTAGAAGGAAAGAAAAGAAGAGCCATGAGGGGCCAGCCAAGGAAGTTGAAAGATTACGGCCTTATTTATTTATATATATATATACTGTGCATATATG